AAGAAGCTGCTATGTAACATGCAGAAGGCTATATACAATTACTGAGCAAATGCAAAGTGAACACAATGCATTCTCTTACACTTTTGTTTGTGTGCCATCTTAGGAAGCATTTGCCAATCCAAATAAAATGACTGAATACAAACAAAAATCTTTAAAATCTTTAGCTGGTATCTCACTTGACTTCTGCTTTCAGGAGAAAAGTATGGAATTACTTTCAGAAGTCATCTTAAGTGAGAGACACATAGGGTAACAGTAAGACATGCATGAGAGCACAGCTAGGGCAGGAGGGCTCAAGAAATCCTGGACTTTAATAATTCTCTGATTTTGTTCCAATTTGAATCTTATCAAAGTTGACCTCTTAACATTTAATAACAATCTGGGATACTGCCAAAATCAGCAAGACAAAACCAGTACTTCTCCTTCACAATGGTTTGGGCATTTACTTTACCCAGATTATAGCTTCACAATCAAAATATGTTGTTATCTGTAATTCAAAAAGCCATTGTCCATTCATTTTTTTAAAAACAACTCTCCTTGGTCAATTCAAAGAGCAAAATGTAGCTATCATCCACAAGAAAGCCACACAATAAAGGTTTTCTAGTTATTCTCTCATCATGGATGATGTCATCTGGAAGATGAATCGGCTCCACTGGTTCAAATATGACTGACCAGTAGTTTCCCCAGCCCATGTGGCTAATAAAACAAGAATAAGAACATTCTAGTGTAACGATGTTTCTGGCTGACAGCTGCATTTATATCATGGTGTCTTCAAAGTTTTGGGATGTTGAACTATGTCTTACTTTTACTGAAACTCTGACAGAGAGAAAGGGGAGACAGAGAAAGAGATAAAGAGAAACAGAGAGAGACAGAGACAGAGACAGAGACAGAGACAGGAGGGTGAATGAGGTATAGAGACAGATACACAGAGAGACAAAGACGCAGATTGGGACAGAGAGAGACAGAACAACAGAGTGTGTGGGGTCTGGGCAGTCCTGAGTTTATCCTGAGAACAGTCTGGGTTGTTCCTGGTTTCAATACTCACATATCACATTGTCATAGGAATTACTGTGTATATAACAGTCTTAAATTTGTTTAAAGAAGACTATATGGAACACTAGGATGATAAAGAAGTTCATGGTCTGGAAGTTCTCCTGGGATCCTGGGGAACTTCATCTGAATTTCCATTGTCAGTGTCTCTCCTCACAGCTCTCCCCCTTGGTCTCCCTTGAAATATTTTCTGGAATCCCAAGATGCTTCCACTGTTTTCTGGGCTCTGACCTCTGAAGAATCTCAAATCATTCTCAATGTGACATATTAAATGATATATTTGGGTTCCATTTACTAAGTGAAAATATCTTTAAATTATTGGCTGTAGTCTTTCCATACATTTTGTCATCATATAGTTAAGAATGATATGGCATTCATTTTTAAGGAGGTTGTACTTTAAACTGCTATTAGGAATGTGACCATATATAATAACATGCCTCCTAAAGAGTAAGTTCAAAGTCATGTGCAGTGGTAAAGAATGCAGAAATAGTAGTAAGCTGAACAAAGATCACTCAAAGATGTCCATGTCCTAATTCTTGGAACCTGTGATTGAATAACTTTATATGGAGAAAAAGCATTTTTGTAGATGTCATTAATTAGAGCATCTCAAATTTTGAATTAATTGAATGGGATTAATTAAATCACAAGAATTATTATAAGATCAGAGACCCCAGAAGCTGTTGCTTGAGGACATGAACCACAAGCCGAAGATTGTTAAGTGGTTTCTAGAAACTATGAGACAATTAAATCCATCTCTCTTCTAGCTTCAAGAAAGAACATTTTGACTTTTGTTTTCTGTCCTCCATAATGATGTGATAATGAAACTATGTCACCTCAAGTTAGTAATTCATAAATGCAACTTTGTTATAATAGTCATGGGTCACACTCCTTCAGAATCACTCAGCCATTCATGATGGCCATTCCAGGTCCCCTATGGAAACGATTCTTCATACTTTTCTCTGTCCTCCTTCCCTTGATCTACACACACTGCCTCTGATGTCTTATCAGATCAGTTGCATAGTGCCCTCTTCACAAAGAGTCTCTGGAGTTGTACACTCCTATCCCACACCTGCCACTCCTAGTCCTAGTGTTACTCCCCTTGTCACTCCTGCACCTTCACAATAGCTGACATTTGGCATTTGCTTGGATGGCTGTGTGATCACGTTTATCATCTTGCTACTGTTAGCTTGATGACTACACAAATCTGGTTTTGCTTATTCTTGTAAACCTGGTGCCTAGTGGTATTCACAAGCAGCTTTTTGGTGGGTTTAGAATCTCCAGAATTCTGTAGGTCATGAGACAATGTGGCACAGTTCATTTGGAAGTGAGAAAGGAAACAGATGGACTTGGCTCTGTTCTTTGCACCTTTGTTTGCCGAGAAAGTGAGCGTGCCAGCCTCTGCATTAACTCACATGCTTCTGAAGTCTTGGATATAGTCACCATTTATCTTTGTGAGGGACAACTGGGAGAAGATGCTGTGTGGTGAATGGATAGTAGAAAAAGTGTTTTCAGTTTCTAAAATATTCTTTTGTGTAGCATTTAGGTCTTTTTTTTTTCTTTTTTAACCTTATTTCTATTTCCATTTTAATTTTATTGCCTGAGAACTTATCATAAGACCATTAAGAAATCAAGCTTCTCTTGAGCAGGGCATTTATAACTTTTATTGTTTTGAGTTCTCTGGTTCTCACAGTCAAATCTAATGCTTCCTCTAGGCTTCCCCTAGAATGGAGAAGTGAATAGTGCTTCGGCATAGTTTCATTAAGCTCCCAAAGAAGAAATTGCATGAGATATTACATGTGTTTCAGTCAATTTCAATGTGAGGAGATCAGAGGCCACTTTGGGTATCCTTTCTTAAGAACAGTCGACCTTGTCTTATTGAAGCAGAGTCGCTCACTGGCCTGGCATTCACCAAAGAGACTATGTGGGCTGGTGACAAGCCTCAAAGTCACATTTTATCTTCTTTCCCAGCACTGGGATGACAGCTGTGCATTGACCTTCCCACAAGTTTTCTATTGAGGGTGCTGGGGGTCAAATTCAGGTCCCCATGATTTCTGAGAGAGCACCTTTACCTACTGAGCCATCTTCCAATCCCTCAATACTTGTTTTGAAAAAACAGTTTTCATGAGTAGGAGAAATATGTATAAAGGATCTTTAAATAGTAGACAATCCCCCCCCCAATAGTTAGGCTACATTTCTCTGCATAGTTTGCACAAACATACCTCTTTTATTTAAATTGGTTTTAAATTCGAGTATTCAAAAATACTTTTATTGTTGAGAATTTCATTTGACTATATCAACCTCCCATTTACTCCATTTATTTATCCCCTTATGTCCCCAGTAAGTCTCTCTCTCAAGTTCACTATTTCTTTTCCCTCTCCTCCCACTCCCACTCCTCCTTCTTGATAGTCCACTAAGTCCAATTAGTGCTTCCTGTACAAGCATTCCTCCTTACAATGATCTGTGTCAGAGATTCTATTCATCTTCCTGTAGGAAGGACGTTTGGTTTTAGAACTATACATACATTAAGTTTTTTAAGGCCACCGATAGCACATAGACAGAGTATCTAGCCACAGATAGAAAATGTGGGCCCTTGGTCCACATACGCATATAGTCCCCTAGATGGCAAGTTTACCAGCCACTTTCACACAGCATAATTTTTTGATGGGTCATTCAAATCACACCAGCTCAGATTTCTCAGTGCCATTATGGCCCATGCCTCACAATGGAAACTAGGCAAATAAGTTGAGCTGCTGTAATTCATTACCCAGGTCCTATAATGTTCAGAATCACCTTAGCACCTCTCTGTCTAGTCGATTGCAGTGTGCTGTGGGCAAGCTTTCACTGGGAAGACCAAACTTCATTACCATGTAACTGTCACAGCAGGTACAGACTACAAAAGCCAGAAAAAAAATGTACAATCAATTCAACTTTGACTTCATAAAACTTTGTAAGACTCTAATGAAGACAAATTATTGCATTAGTTGATTGTCAGCCTTCTGTGTAGATACCTCCCCTTAAGGAGTTGATAGCATGTCACATTGGGGGAGAAAGAAGGCTCCCAGTTCACTAACAATGAAGTGGAAAAAGCAGGAAGGTCTCCTACATCCACCCCTAGCTGTGGTTGGCTCTTCTCCCTCAGACATTAATCAGTCCAGTCAATAAGCTTTGCTGACAGTAGAGCCAAGTGTGTCTTTTCGAGTACCTGGCAGATTCACGATGAATGCTTCATGAACGATATTTGAGTAATCGATATTTCTAAATCAAAGAGTGTCTGTTTCCACAGCAGAGTCTGGTAAAGTTGGAGGGCACATTGCTAGTCTGTTTTAGGTCTATAGATCCTAATGACCAACTTGCCTGCTTCTTTTTCCACTGAATTTGTTTGAATTGCCATGTGTCCATAACCATGAAACCCAAGCTGTCTACTTGATTCCATGTTCCGTGCAGAAAAATACCCATATCCCTTTTTCCTTTTTGATGTGATTTAAAAGTCAGATGAAGGGATTTCACTGTTGAGACTACATAAAGAAACAGCAGAACACAGCTGAGGGGCTGACAAGCGGCACAAATACAGTACCTGCTAATGTGCAGGGCGAAAGCACCTTGAGACTTTAAAACAGCTACCCCAGAAATAATATCTTTATCCAAATACAAGGTCCCATATGAATTATACTATTATTTTAGCTGATTTTCCTTGACATCACACTATGATTTTTTTTTCTATGACAAGAAAATTGCAGCCAAACCTTGACAGTCAATCACAAATTGACTGAACAAAACAAAATCAAACAGTGAAGTAATCCCCAGGCAAATTTAATGAAACCCAAATCCCAAAGGGCTGTGCACTTCTGTAGGCAACGGTCTTATTTAATAAGTTGCCCCTGCTTTCACTTTTAGGACCATATTTACACAGACAAATTCAATTCATTTTGGTTTGCTTTTCCTCTTCCTCTAAGTCTGCCCACCAGGCACGTATGGGAAAGACTGTAACCAGGTATGTCAGTGTTCAGCAAAGAACCAAGACTGTCATCCAGTCACTGGGAGATGTACCTGTCTGCCTGGCTACCATGGGGACCGCTGCCAGCTCCGTAAGTACGGTCTGTACAGCCTAGTACTGCACTAGGCTGGACTATTTATTGTTCAGAGTAAAGGACGAAAGTGAATGGAAGCTTCAACCCCATAACAAATTGTGTGCAATATTTTACTTGAATAGTAGAAAGCATTATCTTCTAGTTTTTCTCTGTCGCCTCTTCTCCATCTCTCTTTTGGTCTTTTCTGTTCAAACATTTCCCCCAATTCTTCACAAGTATCCAATATAAAAAGAGATGAAGAAAAAAATATATGAAATTATGTGCTTACCATTATACATCAGCAGAGAAGAAATGACCACATGTTTAAAGTGATTCAAATGTAAGTTGATCCCATGCTTGCTTCAAAACAAAAATTAAATGAATTTTTATTCTCTAATGAGAACAGTAACTTGCTTAAGTGACAAAATGCCAGTTGCTCTTGGCCCTGTAATAAAACAGCACTATCCCTAGACACAGAACTTTATGTTGTTTTGCTGGAATGATTTAACAACCAAAAAATAGTTATCTAAGAAAGAATACACTAAAAAAAAAGTCCAAAAAATCATGTGAAAATGTTCAATCAACTATGTTGTTTTTAAACTTGCAATTATTTATAATGCACATTTTATGGGAATAAAAGTAAAATGATTTGGCCTCTGTTTCATTCATTTTCCCAAGCTGGCTGTAGCTACTCCTACCTCCAGTCACTCTAGCCATTTTTTCTAAATGCAAGGATCCCTGATCACACCAACTTTCTAAAAGCCATAGAAAATATATTCCAAATATCATTAATACTTTTTAAACATGTGCAACTAAAGCCACAATTAAACATATATGAAAACTGTTTCAATTAACACCTTTAAGATCTATAAGTAGTGCAGTCATTCCAGTTGAAAGTGAATAACTAAAATACAAAATTTCTCTAAGTTTGTGGCTATGGTCAATCTTAAGCATCTTGTCCTAGAAAGCTATTGTTATATATCTCAGAAGAACTTCTTGTCCTAGAAAGATATTATTACATATCTCGGAAGAACTCCTTTCCTGACCTCAAGGATATCTTATATTAAGAAAATAGTATCAGGTTACATACAACATGGTGGTATTTTCATTTCCAAAGGTGAGCTACATTGGGTTAAGGGAGGCAGCCTCACCTTGTTAAAGTGAAGCTGGTTGAGCCAGGAGCAGCTCCATGACTCTCAAGTGGGCTTAGCTCCAAACAACACGTGGTTGGATATGGCTGCAAGGGTTCCTTGGCAGCATCCACTGTAATTACAAAACTATGAAGAAAGATTCAAGAAAATAACCATAAAAGGTGTAGCTGGCTCCAAAGCAAAACTTCAGCAGCCAAGAACAACTGGGCTTTCGTGTTCTCAAGTTCAGAAGGGAGAATCAAACGTTTCTTTCAGCAGAGGTCAGAGGAAGCAGACAAACTCACACTGAACATCTCACAGCTTTTCCATAACTCAGAGATGGGACACTTAGCCTGAGTGTGTGGCTCTCACATAGGAAAAGTGCAGTTAGCGCCAGAGGATGTGGACTCACGGTCCCATGGATTTCATGACCAACGAGAGGGCTCACATTATTGTAGACCTTGGAAAACTTACACTCTTCTAACTGCTGCCTGCCATTTACAAACACCCTTATTTGAGTTCTCAGTAACTAGTCAGTTATGTGAAAGGTCTTCCATGTTTCAAATAGATGCTTTTGGAAATGTGGTAAGAACAGCTTTACCAGGAGGATATGAAGGCATTCATAGAAGCTTGTCATTGATGACATTGCCCATGGCCATAAACATTCATTGTGAGAAGATTTTAGTTTTTCCTTTTTCAGAATAAAGCCAAATTGTGTCACAATGCCTTGCCCATATGTGTGTAACCTTTTCAAACACTAGGCAAACGGACTGGGGAAAAGAGATTAATGCTATTCATTTGCTTGGGAACTATGTGCCTCGAGATACAGTAGCAGCCTTGTTTGTCTAAGTGAAATGCCATTCATACAATTACATTGTGCAATGACAGAGGGGTCTGCCACAGAGCCTTCAACATTTAAACAAATCAGAACGATAAATTCCAAATCAAGGGTTTTTTTTATTAGAATGAAAGAGGGGAAGATTATGGATGGGGGAACATGGTCATTTTGTAATGGAAAATAACCCAATACCCCTTGCTGGGGAGAAAGAATAACTGCAAGAGATGTAGCAAAAGCAACGCCATGTTAAAACAGAACATCAGGGAATGAGGGAGGGAAGACTTGACTTTATTATGAGAAATTTAGTAAAATCACTTTGTCCAGGGTGTGTCTTGCTAAGTTTAGTCAATCTCTGGGATGTGTTCATGAATCAAGAAGTCCAACTTGCATGTCCCACAGGAGTGAATGAGAAAGTGGCATTGTCCACAAAACAATTAATTCTTAGGAAAAAAAACTACCACAACTTCCATAAGCCATACACTATACTTGGGATGTAAATGTAAATAAGTCAGTGAGCCATAGATTTATGCATATGTTGTCTTATTGCTGATGACATATTCTTTAGCAGATAATTAAGCTGAAGGGTAAAAGGATGTGTTTTTTTTTCTATTTATAACAAAGAAAAAGTAATAGTGACTTTAGTAAGTACAAGTCAGTGATAAGATAGCTGCAGTGGTGTATGTCCTGGGTGGAAATGGCTGTCTCATAGCTTCACCTCACTGGAAAAGCAATTTAAAATCTGACTTTGTGTCTCTTGGTTACTTAAATTTGTTAGATGCTCACACTAGGCCATTCTTCCTGCTCATGGGATGTGGTATTTCTTTATCCTCAGAATGGTAGCCACAATAATGTATATATTTTTATATAAGAAAGTCTCTCTTTTGAAAGAGGAGCTCTTTTCCTTAGTTGCACAGAAATCCACACCATGACCCACTTCTGAGTTATGACTCTGGAGACTTCTAGAACACCTGCTACCACTTTAATCTCCCTTTAGGAAGCAGCATGCCTGGCCACATTGGTTCTATCTGTATTGCCTCGGTTTCCTTGTTTGTTTTCCTCCAGTTGAGCCACCATACATTTTTCAGCATCATACATTTTTATGAATCCTTAATTTTTGTAAAATTGTGAAAGTTACATTCTGAGACACAGTTAGACATGCATGAAAATGATCGTCTCTTAATAAATGGATAAAGAGGAAAAGGGTACATCTTATTAAGGTACTAACTCTATGTCTACCATTATATAGTACATTTTAGAATTGAAGGTGCCTCAGAAGCACTGAACACCACTAAGAGTGCTGGGAGCACTGCTATGCCTTGGAAGGAGGGACCAGCAGAGAGGACCCAGCACAGGGAGGAACAGAGTAACATAGTAGCTCAGACAAAGGAGCAAACTTGAGCAAGAACAGTGCTTCAGGGTTCACTTTAGTTTTCACCACACTCGATTTTATTTTTTAAGCTGGAAGGCAAAAGGAAGAAGATGCAGCTGCTTTCTGAGTCTATGGTCAGATCTAAGTCTCCAAGGAATGGCTATGGGTTTGGAGATAGAATTCGCATAAAGACTGTAAAAAGTGTGACTTCATGAAAGCCCCCTCTGACTAGTGTTGTCATATAAGATCTGCATCAATTATTTTTCTCTTGTTGTGATAGAACACTCTAACAAAAAGCAACTTAACCAAAGAGAGGTCTTATTTTAACTCAAACGTCCAGAAGGGGACAGTCAATCATGGCTCTGAAGATCTTCAACAGAACCATGAGAACAGCCTGACAGTAAGCAGAACAACTATATTTCATGCATGAGAGAGACACACACACAGAGAGAGAGACAGAGACAGACAGAGACAGAGAGAATAGGAATTGAGACCAAGCCACAAAACGGCATAGTCCATCCCCATGATATACTTCCTTCAGCTAGGCTCTACTTCCTAAAGGTCCCATAATCTTCCCAAGCAGCAACTAAGAACCAAGTATTCATATATATGAACATATGGGAAAAGTTTCTTCTTCAAACTACAACACAGGCCTGTGCAGGCATTGAGGTAAAAATAGAAAATAAAAACTAACTAAAAATGAAAAGTATCCTCTACACTTGGTGCCTTTTGAATTCTTACATTTATCAAACACACCAATATTATTTGGTCATGACAAAATATATTTAATCAGTAAGGAAGGGATGAATTTGAATTTGCCTAGGTTGTAAGAATGCTTCAGAAGGTGATGTCAGAGAAGCTCATAGGAAGCCTAAAGATTTATTAAGGGACAGTATCTCATATGACATCTGTCTGTCTGTATATACACATGTACATATATGTATATGTGCATATATGTGTAGATGTTAGCTATTGTCCTGTATTTGTTATCCAATAATCTGTATGTCTTTCTGTCTTCTTGGGTATCTATCACCATGTCATCATATGTTTGAATCAGTAGCTTGAAGGCAACCAAAATTGCCAATGAAGAATAATTGAATTATTGAGTTAAGAAAGGCATGGGCATGAGTTTGAACACCTGAATGCTTCAAGTTGCAACAACATATGAAATTGTGCTCTCCTGGAACAGGGTGCCCAAAAGACACTTATGGTCCAAACTGCCAAGAAACATGTAAGTGCCTGAATGGAGGTCAATGTGGAAGTCCACTTGGCACCTGTACCTGTCCTCCTGGCTTTTTTGGGGCAGACTGCAGTCAAAGTAAGTTATTCTTGCCTGGGTTTTCAGTCAGTATACTTGTCTAGTTTATGCTGTCTTTGAACTTGTGGCAATCCTACTGCTTTACCCTGTACTTATGGGGAAGATAGGATAACTATTCCAGTCTCCAAAGTGTGTAAAATACTAAGGCATACTTGTTAAGGGCCGCAGGTACGAGAGTGAATGGTGGTACAGTATTTTACTTGGGGATTTAATATAGTTACAGTAAATGCAAGTTTATCTAAATCACATGTTGAGAACTAGTAATGTCAAATTTGAGTTGATAGTTGAAGTCATTAACATTAGCAAAAGAAATCTTTCTGCCATAAACTCTTCTACCCATAAATACTGGACTCGAGTTGGAACTGGAAAAGTATGTTAGGCAGGGTCAGCTTAAGGATTTTTGTGTTCATAATGTCAACCTTGCCCCAAGTTTCAGAATTTTGTCCATATTCAGAAATTTTATGCCTCAACAATAAGTAGTTTCTCTATTCATCAATAGGGAGTGTCATAAGCCCAAACACCTTAACTGTACATCACAAAACTTATTAGCATCAAGTATAAGAAAGTTGAAGATCCTTTAAAGTACATGTTTGGACACTGTGAGTTTGTACCTAGAAAATGCATCTCATTTATCATCAGATCTGCCATTTCTAAATAACTGGATAGTTTCTACTTTCACCCAATAACTAGGTGAATGAATACCCTCTGATGCCTTTGGCCCACATGGTAATGATTAATTATGAAACTCTAGTGTTTGAACTCAGGATCACTGATGATCTTTTCAGAAGATAGATGAATCAGTGAAAAGAATAGGCTAATAGAGAGAGAGAGGTTAGAAGCTGGGCTAACTATCTGTTTTTTAGGCAAGGGACCTGAGATGGGGTTATTTAGGTTATTCACTTTTGAGTCATTCATGAAGGTCATATTATCTTCAGTAATCATTAACTTCACAACTAAAACAGAGAGGCACCATCAGTATGCTTATAAAAGTAGATGACCTTCAGTAACTCTCTCATTCATGCTTGTACATGTGTACACATAAATATATACACATACATAGATGCATATATACATAGACACATATGCAGATATCCACATATGCATACATAAAGAAACGTATACACAAATGTACATTCACAATACACATCAAAAACATTTACATTTACACATACATGCATATACACATGCACACATACAACAGATACAAATACATATATACACACATGTGCACATACACACACACAGACACTGCACACACACACAGACATGCACACACACACACTCACACACACTTCATTTAAGGTCTTGCTGGAAGAGGAGTGTTTGTGCTTATTCAGGCCATTAAGCTGGTGTACACCAAAGATAATTTCTTTGCTTGTGTTTCCCACAGTGGCTGCTGCCTCTGACTTACATAAGGACAGTGTTCTCTGTTAATTGTCCTGTGTCAGCATGGCATTGTACTAAGTATAAAAATTTAATAGGACAAAGTCTCAAATCCAAAGAGCTGATGATAGATGCCTTCGGGATAGGGCCTCTGCTTCCTCAACTGCCAAGTGATCTTTGAGTGAAAGCCATCCCATAAACACTTCCCGAGGAAGGTTCTGGCTGGCTCCTTTATGTTTGTTCTTCAAAGAGAGTCAATGGGAGAAACATCCCTACACAAGAGCATGTTCAAAGTCTATGGCCCCTAAACACTGGGAATGCGTTGTCTTAAGAAAGCTGTGATCTCGTAGGAGCCATTTTCCTTGCCTTGACAGATTGGTAGGTTAGAGCCAAGTATGCAGCCTGTCTCTAGCAATGCCAAGGGTTTCTCATGCTTATTTTCACACTGTTAACACGTAGCCATCTCAGTTGGTTTTTATGGATGTTTCTTTTATCTTTGTTTCACACACTCATCTCAAAACATTTTTGGAACAATGCAAAATAGATCAGTTAGTGCAAAGTTAGTAAATCCATTGATAATATTTGAAAATGTGAGTATTATGGTTTTTATATTGAGGTTAGGAATATAAAATAAGATTCCAGAAAGGAAAACATATTTAATATTTTTGCAAAAACATTATGTCCAAAAAGAACAAACACACACACACACACATACACATATATATGTACACATACTCATACACATATGCATACAAATACACACATACGTACTAATTCATATTCTCTCTCTCTCTCACACACACATGTATGTATGTGTTTATATATGTGTGTTTGTATGTGTATGTACGTGTATGTAACATAAGATTGGAAGCTTTTGTTTTTCATTTATAAGTTGAATGTACCAGACACAGGTTTTGAAACTAGATACAGGCATATATTCCACATTGGAGATGAAACTGCTCTAAGAAAGCAACAGCTTAGAACTTACTACTTGGTTACTTTTTAAAATAAACTTTTAGGTTGGAAATCATACTGTAGGGAAGTCAGCAAAATATGATTTTAGGAAAAAGAGCCATATATTCACAAGTGTCTAAAAGTCTTGAGTGACAGATTTTCAATAAGAAAAATAAGCTTTGTGTGACTTTAATTTGTTTGCTCCTTTTGTTTAGCATGCCCTGGAGATTATTATGGGCAGGATTGTGTCCAACGGTGTTTCTGTGGCTCAGGAAAATGTGATCCAGTGACAGGAAGGTGTCATTGTCCACCTGGCCTGATGGGATCAAAGTGTCAGCAAGGTAATAAAGTATGCTAAAGATTCACCATAATCATCCAAACAGTAAACATGTTGAACTGTGATCACAAGTCTGGTGTCAGGACTGTGGCATGATTCGCCATGCTTCTTTTAAAATGGAGCATTAATTACATGGTAGCATGTTTGCCTATTGTGCTGTTGAGGCAACAGACTCTTGGAAGGCCACAGAAATTGGTGTAGAAATTAAGAAGATTTATGTATACACTTTGCTAGGAGGAGCAATTTAGGCAACAATAGTGGACACTCTTGGAAAACTATTAAAATATGTTAGAGAAGTTTAATTACAAGATGATAGAATCTGACATCCTCCTCAAACTACAGAGGCCTGCTGTGAGATAAAAAAGGGTATATGCATGCAAATATTGCATTGTCTTAAACTATAGAATTGCTTCCCTGGAGCCTTCATATTGATTATTATCATACAAAATTATAAGCACAGAAGAACCATCAAGTCATCCATGCATGGACCTATTGCGAGAGTGCTGGCCATGACTCCTAGCTGTGACATTTGAGCTGGCATTCCCCTTGCTGTACGAAGAGGGGGTAACCTACAATTATATGTTGATAAGGACTTTGTAAAAAGGCAGGCTGGGTGGGATCATCCTTAATCTTCCCTGGTTTGTACAGAGTGGGACATACTGGAATCTATAGATGATGGCTAAATAGTCACACACACACGTATATATGAACACAAATGCACATATAAACACACATACACATATATAATATGAACACCTACACATATGTATGCATGGGGTTACAAATACCATATAAACACACACACAAACACAATACAAAAACATGCATATACATATGTACTCACATAAGTACACACATGCATTTCCCACAACTTGTATACATGAGCTTCATTCTAGATTAAGAAACCTTCCAAATTGTTAGTACCAGTTTTTCAGCCTGAAGCCACACTACCCCATAAGAAAACGTCTGGTGCATAAAAGCTAGTCAATAAAACAAACGCTCCACATTAAAAACTAGAAAACAAAGTGTTTAAAACTCTGTTTGTTTATTAGTGTTGATGCCATAAGAAGAACCTGAAAAGTAAAACATATGAATCTAGATCATGAAGGTTTTACTTTAGAGCACAGGAAACTATTAGCCAAAAGTTCTCCCAGCATCCAAAGGACCTGTGAAAGAGTGTTTCCTATAAAATGGGATGCTAAGACAGAGATGCAAGGGTTCATAGAATAAGTTACAGAACAACACAAGAGAATGGATACTAAACTTAAGAGCTCAGAAAACAATGAAAATGAAATTTAGAGCCCACATCATGCAAATGCAGGGCACCTTAACAGCAGAGAATGGGAAGACTGATGGCTGCAGAGAAGGCATGGAGTATGTGATGAAAATGAGGAGAATGAAAGATCAGCTTGGAAATAATAGTGTAAAAAGAGGGGAAAGAAAAAAATGTTCAAATATATTCCTTGGAAATAAAAGAAGATTGACTAAACCCCCTGTCCTCGAAAGGAGGTCTGAAGCCGCTGTGAGTGTAGCTCTGAGGAGTCCTGTGCCTCACAGCAGTGCTCAATGCTAGCATATGATTAATCAATGTCTATTCCTATCTTGGGGAGAAAATGTGATCCAAGTATTTTATTCACAGTTAAACTGTTTTTCCGATATAACATGGTGGTAAATCAACAGCTATTTTTTTTTAAATAAAACGTTAGTGGAAAAACGATATCTTTACATTTTTAAAGGGACAATTGGAAGATAAATCTGAGCAACAAAATGAATAATGAAAAACTGTAGTAACAGGACAATTGATGACATTAAATTGTTTATGTTTTGCCAAGTTTAAAACAACTGCAGACATTATGACTACATAACAGAGATAGATGTTCTAACAATATAGAGGTTTTATCAAATGTTAATGATTCACAAATTGAAAGAACCAAATGAAAGAGTGTAAGTCTACTGGCCCTCCTTCACTGTAGTTTACAGGGTTGAAGGCACAATTCTCTATTAACACATATGGTTTAACTATGACAACCCAAATATTGTAAGTGTTTAATTGAAAACTCTAGAAATTTGAATGCTGTAACTGAAAATATAAGAATAAATTTTATCCAACTAAAATTGGAAGAAAAGAAAAACAGAATTATCTTGTTTACATTACCATCAACACTGGAAAGCAAGCATAATTAAGACATTACCATGTTATGTAAGACCACATGCATTTTCTAAAGACTCCCAGATTATAAGACTCCATTTCACAGTGATGACACACACTCACTTTTCTATAAGGTACTGATATAATAAAAACATGACTCATAAGTGAATCTAGAATCATGGGTTTCACACAAGTAGATGATGTAATGATTATCAGAGGTGAGGTAGTTGTAGCTTGAATGGAGGAAGAAAGGGGTCATGTTGATCATAGGACACAGGCTTACAGCTAGGTGTAAGCAGTAACTTTCAGGAGGTTCCCTACATAGTAGATAAACACACTGATTACGATGGAAAATATTTTTGAGCAACATAAAGAGAATAGGTGCTATATGCTATTGCCAAAATGAGGCAACTAAGGCTGGTTTAATTGCAAAGGCCAGACATTGTGGTTTACACACAATGTATGTGATGGTTTAAATGAGATTTGTCTTGTACAGGCTCCAGTATTTAGATACTTGGTCTTCAGTTGATGGCATTGTTAGGAGGTGGTTTGGAAGGACTGGCCTTGTTGAAGGAAGTATGTCACTGGAGGTGGGCTTTGGAAACTTAAAGTCTTGCTCCATTTCCAGTTTTCCCTCTCAGTGTCCTACTCCTGCCACAATGCACAATGCTAAAGTGCCTCTGTTCCATTCAGCTGGACTCACCTTTTGAAACTGTAAACAAAAATAAACCCTTTTCATAGGCCACTTCTGATCATGGTGTTTTATCATAGCAGCAGAAAATATGCAATTGTAAACTGTACCTAATAAGTACATAAAAAGATGATAGATGATGAAGATAGACAATAGATATTATAGACTCATTTTGAGCCCTTGAACAAATGTCCAATAATCAAACATGGTGACACATGCACAATCTTGGTAGATGAAGACAGAAGGATCCCTGGAGTTTGCTGGACAGTCAGGCCACCCTAACGTCAACCTTCATTCAAAAAAGAAACCCTATCTAAAGATAGAGGGGTATGGGCCTACTTCAGACAGGGTCTGTGTTGATAGCCATGGCCCATGTTAACCTCCAAAGGCCATTGACATGTCCAAGGTGTGGGCTGCAGCCTGAGGCCATGGTGATGTCTAGATTGTGCTGCCACTGAGGGCCGTGTCTGGATCCTAGATCTATGGTCCTGCTCTAGCTGGGAGCTTTGTTTGTGGTCTGTGCTGTCACCAGAAATCACATGGAAGCCCAAAATCCATGCTCCTGCTGACTATAAGGAACAAGGAAACTACTTTTGTGGAAATATTGAACTGCAGACACAAAGTTGAGGGAGAGGGACAGGACATGGAAGGCTTATGTGACTCTGCTCCCACACTCCTCCCAAATGGAAAAAGAAATGTAATAAATGTAATAGCCCAGTTGGGAAGCCTAAACTTGTGGTGGGATGCTGCAGTTTAGCTCCCTGCAGTTGATGGCTTCTGGCAGGATGTTTTTAGTTTTGTGAGGGTGGGTCATGGAGTGGGGTGAATATGAAAGGACTGGGAGGTCATTGTGTTTAGGATATATGATGTGAGGTTCCCAGGGAATCAATAGAAATGTTGTATTGAAAGGGGAGCAGGATGAGGATGGCTCTTGAAGTACAGCACTCTGTCCTCCACATACGCATGCATGGGAGTACACAAGAACCAGCACATGCATGAATACCACACTCTGTTATCTGCCTAACAAAGTGAAAACATTCCTCTTTCTGACCACTAAAAACTGGTCCTTTAAAAGATCTACACAGGGAAGAGTCTTCACTGGATTTAGCCACACATTCTGCCTTACCTTAGCTGAAGCCTCATGCAAATTGGGTTAGGGGTTTTACTCTGTGTGCTTGCTTGTTTTTCTCCTTTTAAATCCCTCTAAGGTTTTAATGCTAGCTGTAGTTAAGAAACACACAACAAGAAAAAGATATCCTAAATTTCTCTCCTGCTGCTGAAATTTGAAGTAGGCTTGGTTAGAGGTTAGAGGTTTCAAATTTGAGCCTTGACTTCTGGCCTTATTGGTTATCTGAGTCTGCACCAGGCTTTAGTCTCCAAGCCTCAGTTTTTCCAAGAGAAAATTAAGAACACTGTTACCCACATCACAGGGGTGTTTGGGAGCATTAAATGAGATAATCCATGTGTGAAATATCATTATGTAAAAACTCCATGAACTAGAGGTTATAAATGGTAGGCCTTTGGCCAAATCTAGCCACAAATGTGTTTGAATTGGCTTCAGAATATGCCTTCCATGCTGTTATAAAATGATTTTAATTAGTTGCCAACTCTCAAAGATTGAAGAATTTTATGTAATATATGGATATTGAGTTTTCCTTAAAAAGTTGTATTAGATAGAAGCATGGGGTCATTTTTTTTTAATGGCAAAACCAACTAATTATTAGAATTATCCTCATCTTACAGGAGCTCTAAACTCATATTGATGGTACTTGCTATCACCCCATGACATTCCCCTGGCATGAAGGGAAAGGCCCTTAGTCCCTCTTCTCTTCACTCACTGGTTTCTTAACTGCTGTTGGCAGTATGTTTAGTTACCACCCTCCTCAGCTCAACAGTGAAGCACCAAAGCATTGTAGAAATAACTGCTCCTCTTTCCTATTGATTTTGAGATGGTATATAAACCATATTGGTTACTTCTTCTATTACTGTGATGAAATATTCTGACAAAAACAACTTAAAGGAGAAGAGCTTGCCTGGACCACCGTTGTAGGGGACAGTCCTACCTGGAGGAAAAAGCAACAATTGTGGGAGATTCATGGAGCTGGTCACAGTGCTCTGCAATCAAGAGCAGAGAGTGGAGTGTCACTGCTCAGCTTGCTTGCTTTCAGTGCAATGCAATTTCCAAACAAAAAGATGATGGCACCCTAAAATCAGCTAAGCTGATCACTACATTCCTTCACTGTCTAACCTACCCTAAACCATCTCTCAGGTGTGCCTACAGCTTGTCTCCTGCCTGCTTACAGTTCCATCTGAAGTTGATAGTCAGTATTAAGCCTCCTACTTCTTGACCCAAATTACTGCTGACTGTTCCATAGGCAAGCTCTATGTGCCAGTTTACTGGGCACACAGAACCAGCCCACTAAATGTTCATGGAGTGACTGTGACCTGAGTGAGCCCATGGCAGTGCTGTACATGTGACCTAGAAGACACACCCATGTGGTTGTTTTCAACTGAAGATTTTCTAATGTTTCTACTGTCTTCATGTGGAAACTTACTCAAATGATAAAAAGATGCTGACTCATGACATATTCATTTAATGTAATATTTTCAAATGTTTTTCTCTAGGTTGTCCACAGACAAGATATGGCACCAATTGTGAGCTCAATTGTATGTGTAAAAATGGTGGACTCTGCAATCCTGTGGATGGAAGCTGCACCTGTGGCCTTGGGTGGACTGGGGATTACTGTGAGAAAGGCAAGCTGATGGTCCCTTCTTACCCTCACAAAGTCCACTTCAGGGCTCACTATTATGAGGTGTCTATGAAGACACTATTTTCCAGTAACCTGTTTACACTTATGATTATATTTCCAACAAAATTATGCAAATATTGATCATTCGTCATTATCTACTTTCTAGACTATCGCAGGAAAACTCTGAAACATCTTAAGAAATTGAAATAGTATTGATGGGAACAAATTCCCCTGATATCTCAATTTGCACTTTTTACCCTAAAGCCCAACATCATTGTGGACATCAAAGTGGCTGAGCCTAGAGGATCTAAGCAGGGACCTAAAGAAAATCACATTCACAGAAGACTTGACAAATGGTTAGAATATGTTGGTCTTTGGGAGAGGAGTGAATGGGTGTACTGGGACTTGTAGTTTATGTCTTTGGTCTCAGCACTTTGGTGACTGAAGGGAAGCTGGTACCCAAGTACCAGCCTTGGTATTGCCTTGGCTTCATAGCAAAACATGAAACATAAAATGGCTATCCCCATTACTGTTACATATTCTATGGGTTTTATTGTTATTCTTATTTATTTGCTCTTCCAAATGAATTGTATAATCATTTATCTAGGGAAAACATATTTTTGTTGCTTCATTGTACTGTGTTTCCCCAGGAAGAATCATATTCTTAAGTTAACTCACTGTATTCAAGAACAAACAATCCATCTTTTGTTCATATTTTACTCCTTATCAATAAAAATTCTGGCTTTAGCATTCACATTAAGATATTCAAGTTAAAGAGCAAGTAATTAATTTTCTAATCCATAAATAACCTACTATATTTTAATGAATATATTAAAAGGCCTTTTCCTCAATTATACAATTTATTATATGACTTTTCTCTTTAGTCTGATTGCATATGTGATGTAATATTAATGATTTTCCAATACCAAGTGGCCTTATATACCATGAATAAATACTGTGAGACCATGATTAACTATTTCATAAAGTGACATTGGATTCTATGATTTTGGCATTGATATCCAAGAAGAAAATGGAACTGTTTTTTTCCAGTTTTTAAAATTGTTCCATGCACTCAAAAAAATATTTAGAAATGTTCTTTCTCTTTAAATGTTTTTGAATACTCTAAGTCTAGATGGTGCCCTGCCTAGTGAACATCTGTAGAATCCCCTGTGAATCTGAATAGCACTTTTTTTTTCTTTTACACTTATTCATATGTAAGAACTTACTACAATTGTCTTATCTAGGTTTTCTGGCTCAAATTAGGGTGTTTTGGGTAAGTTATTCTCTATAGCATTTCCCATTTCATTTTGGAATTTTATTTATATCACAATTTTCATATTTGCAAATTGGATTGTCATTTTCTTCATCTTTTGATAAAAGCTAGTGTCTCTGTGTGTAGGAGTTTTTTGCCTGCATGTATATCTATTTACTGAAGGGTAGAAGAAGGAATTGAATCTCCTTTACCAGGAGTTACAGATGGTTATGAGCTGCTGTGTGGGTGCTGGCATCTGCACCTAAGTCCTCTGCAAGATAAGCCAGTGTTGTTAACCACTGAGCAACCTTTCTTTCCCCTTTCTTCACCTTTTAAACAAAGTTGGGTGTTTGTACTTTGTTAATTTCCAGGTTGTTAGGTTGGAACTTAGCCTCATATATATGATAGGCACACCATCTACTGCAGTGATCCAATCTTCCTAATGTTGTGACCTTTTAATACAATTCCTTGTGTTACGGTGATCTCAACCATAAAATTATTTTGCTGCTACTTCATAACTGTAATTTTGCTGTTAGGAATTGTAATGTATATATCTGATATGCGGAATATCTGAGATGGGGGGTGGAGACCTAGAGATTGAAAACTACTGCTTACCACATATCCAGCCTATGAATTGGGTTAGTTAGTAATTTATCTATATGATTTTCTTCATTAATAACACTTTTTTCTTCCTTTAAACTTTTCATTTTTACTTGTTTTTGGTGTTTTCTTCCTCAGCATGCTCTCCTGGTAATTATGGCCCAGACTGCAAATTCAATTGCTCATGTCAGAATGGTGGTATTTGCAACAGGCTTTCTGGAGGCTGTGAGTGCCCCGATGGGTACTATGGACAAGGCTGTGAACATGGTAAACAGCAGAAGCTACTGTGTGTCCTGTATGGGGTGGTTCTAAGCTTCAAAATGACTTTAAGTCATAGAGAGAACATATTCATATTATATCAAATTACACAAACTTCTAGTGTATATTACTGTAAGTGAAGCAAGTTTCACAGCTCAAATTAAAGTTTAGATTTTAACAATTGACATGATTTAAAAATTGACTTTAAAATTCTTTAGGCTTTTCTGCCAATAAATGGCTTGACAATCCCATCATCACTTGGAGATACACTCTTCAGACAGACACCCTATGAACCAAGTGTGAGACTGTCTAGGATGCTCTTTGCCCAGCTGCCTTTGGGCAATAATAGATAAAATTGCTGCTTATATTCCATGTTAGTCATGACTGCCTTCACCTTGTCTTTCTGAATAACTTCTAATATTGTTGTCATATTTGTGCTCATTGTTTTCAGCAAAGATTGGAAAATAAGAAACTTAGACAATGAATAGACAGTATCTCGAGTACAGACCTATCCTAGATAGGCTACCTCTGCCGGCTTTATCATCTGCATAGTGGGTTAATAAGGCTGGCGTGAACACTAAATAAGAAATCATGTTTAAGCATGGAGCATGGGGGTGAATGGCAAAGGAGACAGCAATGACATATGGGTAGGATGGTAGAATGAAAACCCAGTGTCTCAGTCACTTTCCTGTTGCTTCAGATTGTCAAGTCCTGTCGCTGTGATGCACTTCTTCTAGCAAGGCTTCAACTCCTACAGGTCCCATTATGCCCCTGAATAGCACCACCAGCTGGGAAGCAAGTATTCAGAATCCACATTCAAACCACAGGCTAGGATGTGAAACGTAGCTGGACTAGGATGAGAATGGAAATGCACACATTGGAACACATTGGGATAACAATCCACTGTAATAGTGACTAAAGATGAAGACATAAAAGATGCATCTAACTTTCCAAAACGAGCAACTTAGAAACATAAGATTATTTACTGATACTTTCCTGTTTCTTTATGTTTAGGCCATGGGACTTCTCTCCCAGGATTGCAAATACAAAGGCTATATAAATAACTTTCCACACACAATGTTCTATTTGTTTAAGGAATCTAATCAATGTTAGGATCACTAGATTTATCCTGAATCAGAAGTCTATCAAAGATTGCTATTTTAGGGCTAGGTTTTAGATGCCTTAATTTCTTTTCTGTTTGTGTGATAAAGTAATTGAGAGGATAAAGTAATTGTGGCTCATAGTTCCATAGGAATGTTGTTTATCCCAATAGGGGGGATGTGAGATTAGGCAATCAAGGAACAGGGGGCTGGCTGATCACATTGCTATCTACACTCAGGAAACAACGAGTGAGCAAGAAAGGGAACCAGACTAGGAAGTCTCCCGGCCTCCAGTAGATTCCACCTGCTAACGGTTCTACACATTCCCAAACAGTACGATGAGCTTGAGACCAAGAGTACAAATATATAGGGGACATTTCATCTCTAAACTACAACAGGAGGGTTGTACTGCCATCACTGGTCAGCTAAAGTACATCAAAGCAAAATGACATTATAAAGATATTTCAGATCTTCTCATGGGCTTTACTAGTTTTAGGCAATAATATCAACCCACTGTTTTATGATTAATCTCTTGTATGATTCCCTATACATCTAATTCTTCCATTTTGTGTCACTTATGGACTTGATAAACACATGAACTAGATTATATCCTTTAATCTTTCCTTTCATTTTGTTTTTAAGATAAAGATAATAATTTGTCATTTCTGTCTTTTAGAATGTCCTCCTGGATTTCATGGTTTAAATTGTGTTCACATCTGTGACTGCCAGAATGGAGCCAGTTGTAATGTAACAAGTGGACTCTGTGTTTGCCCAGCAGGTTTCCATGGCAACCATTGTGAACAAGGTATGGCAAGGATGTTTTAAAGCATATGTCTTTGAGAGTTCTCTGAGAGCATGAGTTCTTTTCTATTTGTGAACATGAAAACTGGTCACTTATGATTTCAATTTATACATTACACTATAAAGAATATTTCCAGGGATCAGGATAATCAGATTCCTCTCCATTCTAATTGGTTAAAATATTGTTCTTTTATGTAATATCTCAAAATGAAAGCTGTAAGTCTGTATAGGCATGGATTAAACCTATGAGTAAGATTAAATATTTCACGAAATGCCTAGCACAAGAATGTGATCTGGCTTTGTGGTGCTAAGACATATCAGAGGAGTTGTGTAAATATTTAAAGACAAGAATTGGGCATTTATCACAAGAATAACCACAGCTATGAATGTGTATAAAATATGAAAATTAGAATAAGGGCTAAGCAGCTTGAAATGAAATATCACAAAGTCTTAAAAGATTGGGTCAACTAAGAATGATTCCAGAGACCTGAGAGCATCACATCAGATATAGACTTCTGTATAGAGTTGTAACAATGATGGTGATGATGATGATGATGTTAAAGATGATAATGTTAATGACAAAGATGACCATGATGATTTAATTTTATATGGTGAATCAAAATTCCTGCCTATGAACGTTTCAAATAGTTCATCTATATTTTAAAACATTACCACAGCTTTACATATTTTTTTCATTTTTTATTCATTTATTACTTAGTAGTTCAGTAAGGTATTTATTATATTTCTGTGTTATATGGTAGAAATACAGTGGAAGGGATGAGGCATACACTATTCTAGAGAGCTGAACAATAAATTATACATTAAAGAAATAATAAGAGTTGTATACATGATCTGACTTCTTAAGATTTTTCAGAAAAGCTTGCTTACTTTCTAGAACATTAGTGTTAAATAAAATAAGTTTAGAGAACTGATTGTCAAATCAGTCAGACAGTAGATCTTACTCCTGAGAATTCCCAAAATGTCCTCTCCTTCTGAACAGAAAAGTCCCCTTGGTCACCTTTGTCATCTGTAGCTGGATCTTAAGAATATCCTTTTAAGCTGGGCTGTAGTGTTTCATGCCTTTAATCCCAATACGGGAGGCAGAGACACAAGTGTATCTCTGTGAGTTCCAGGCCAGCCGAGTCTACAGAGCAGGTTCCAGGACAGGCTCCAAAGCTATAGAGAAACTGTCTCTAATATATATATATATATATATATTTATATTATAATATAAAAAAAATATCTGTTTAATATGAATTTGCATATTCCCTCAGATGTTAAGCCACAAAAATGTTGATCTTTAGCAAAGCGGAAGATAAGACAGAATAGTCTGGAATTGTTAAGATAGCTCTATTTTCTACTTAGGAGGGTATCCAAAGAAATTTTGCATCTGTCATAAATTGAAGGTTAATGTTTCTATCCTGTGTCTCTATCCTGTGTAGAATGCCCACTTGGAATGTTTGGGGAAAATTGTCATCAACTTTGTGATTGTGAAGGAGAAAGTTCTTGCCACCCAATCACAGGAAAATGCCTCTGCCCACCAGGGAGGGCAGGAACAAGATGTGAAACAGGTATGACCAAAAAGCAAAATCCTGAGTGACACAGGGTTCCACAGACACCTCAATACTGGAAATGACAGTGTATAAAAGGACACTGTCCAGCAATGTTTTCAACTGTCTTCAGTTTGAGGAATCACAGTCTGTATTAGATACATCATAAGCATACCATACAAATACCTTTGTTAACAGAATTCCTCAAAGAGACAAAATGAGCAGACAGTAACTCCAAAAACCACTAGAATACAGACCAGCATCATGTAGGTGGTATTCTCTAGACCCAAGAACCCAGATTGTCTCCAATAACTGATATTTATACTTTGTTTCCACACACAGAAAGAAAGACCTAGAATGTAAAGTTGAGATAATTTAGCAATTGTCCAAAGAAGAGGGGAGAGTGGATTGGGTCAATTGGTGACAAATCTCCCACAGTGTGACTTGATGAATGTGCAGTAGATCAAAACGTTTTATATAATTCACCTCAGACCCAGGACTCTGAGTCACCTCAGATAAGACCCCACATAGAATGTTTAGTCTCAGAATTTACTTTGCTTATCTTCAAAAGATTAGGTTTGAGGCTACATGTAGTTGGAGTTCTGTTCCCTGGCAAGGCAAGATGCCACTACAGTTACATATTGTTAGGATCCATTCCTACATTAGGCAGCTATGAGCTTTGTGGCCTCTGTAATAGCAAGAGAGTCATACTAGCCTTCTAGGCTACAAAAGATTTCTGTTTACCCAGCATCACCTCACATCCCTGCTCTCTTCTCAGCAATATCAATAGCAGCAGCTTTCTGGGGATGCAAGGCAGCATTCTAAAAGTGGTGCCTTCTTTTAATACATTACACATAAGAAGTTATCTATGTTCGTAATTTTGATTGATAAAGTAGGATACTGAGGACCTAAGTCAGTAGACAATAGAATACACATATATGTGTATGCACATGTACAAGTATATACACATATATATTTAGAATAGATTCTGGCATATAATAGATAAAGTAATAAACATTTGTTGAAAAAATTGCTTCTTTGGAGACACAGTGAACTGAAGTTGCTGCAACCTGTCATATCTGAAAATATTCTGTCAGAACAAATATCTGTGATGTGTATGTCATCCATACAAATGGTCATTTAAAAAGACACAAAAATAGCATTTGTGGTCCAACCTGAATATTTAGGAAAACTACTAGTGTTCATTGAGTGCCCATTATGTGCTATGCATAAATTCCCTTACTGCTATCACCCTTCTCGTATTTTAGAGTTTGAGTAGAGAGTCTGTGTTTAGAGACAGAGTGTTTAGAGTTCCATACCAGCACCTCCTTTTTGTGGTGTATTTATATTGCACCTCTAATGATGAAAAGCTTTGAGGAACTGATGTTGCTTGTCCATCTGCATGTGAGACACAAGAGTCATGAACTTCATGGCATTGCTTATGTAACTTAAAATTCACCTGTTCCAACTCACGGGATACATTTGGCATCCTCAGATAATTACTGGCTTCCATATTGGATAGTATAACAAGAAACTGGCCACCATTGCAAAAGGTTCTACCAGATAACACTTGCAATGGTTTAACTAACTCTTAGGGTTCAGAAGATGGCTCAGTGGGTAAAAGCATTTGTACCACCAGCCTGACAGTTTACAACCTATTCCTGGGTGCAAGTAAATATATAGATACCAAGTGTGCATCTCTAGTTCCAACACTCTTTTGGGAAATGGGAGGCAGAGACAGGAGAACAAGTCTAACACGGCACAAAGAAGAGACATCCTGCTTCAAACACAAGTGGAATGACCTTCACATATCCTGTGGGGACACATGAGTACTGAACTCAACAGATGATAGTAATGTCAGGGCCAGGGCGAGCAAGATGGATTAATGGGTAAGGACACTTGCTGTTAATCCTGACAGCTTGGGTGTGATTCCTAGTCCTACATAGTGGAAGGTGAGAACTGACTCCTCTAAGTCGTTCTCTGACCTCAAGCCATTTGTCTCCTGTCCCATCCCCTATACACACACATACACACACACAGGTGTGGCAGAGGGGAGAGAATAATTAAAAATGTAATTTAAAAATTAGAAATGCAAAATAAGCCAGGCCTTGGTGGCACATGCCTTTAATCCCAGCACTCTGGAGGCAGAGGCAGGCAGATCTCTTGAGTTCCAAGCAAGCCTGGTCTACAGAGTGAGTTTCAGGATAGGCTCCAAAGCAATACAGAAAATCCCTGTCTCAAAAAAACAAAACAAAAAAAAAAAAAAAAGAAAAAAAGAGAGAAATACAAAATAAAGCTAGGTGCTAAACATGAAAACTTAAGGATTCAAGGTAAGGATGCATACTGCTTTGTGTGCCCCAAGTGCTGTGTTACAGAGTCTCTTGCTATGTGTGAGGAAATCACAAAGCAGCAGGGTTCAGATGTGGTACTGTATCTGTTTCCCATGGAACCTTGAGAGTCCCTCTTGTCAGGGACTATCGAGGTACCAGGCCTATGTAGATGTACTACAAGGTCTTTTATTTGCATTTTTATTTTCAATTAGTTACAGTTCATCTGCAATATTAACTGTGAGCAGCTGTGACTATCGAGGCTCCATAAAGATAAAAGGCCTCATTTTAACTTAACTCTGGTAAAAGGCCTATTAAACAGCCATAATATTAATTCATAAAAGAATGTAGCAACTTTTTATTGGCTCATTCACCCCTCCCCTTGGTAAATTAACATTTGCAGACATTCAAACAGATGTCTTAAATACACATGGTTATTAACATGAAAATGTGGTATTTTTATAAATTAAAATCAGATTCTCCACTGCTCAGGAGAGATCCTGACTAATAACTCTTTTGAACAAAAAAAAAAAAAAAATTAAAAAATGTGGTCTTACCACCAAACTACATAATCTTTGCAAGACTCTGGGCAGAGCTCTTGTGTTGGGCTCAGTTAAAATGATGTATTTTTTTCTTTAACTTTCCACAGACCCCAAAGTTTAGAAACAAGATTTATCTATTTCTGTTGCATTTATTTATTATTTGTGTATGCATGCATGAGCATGTGTGGTGATATGGTGGGTGGACATAATGATGTCAAAGGACAAGTTCTGGGTTAAAAATAAGGTAATCAGACTTGGGAACAGAAACTTTTGAGACTTGACCCATCTTGCTGGCCCCAAATGCATTTGTGAGCAGCATTCACATTGCTGGCCCAGGGTCTTCCTGAACAGACACTTGGCTCTTTGGCTTAATGCTGAGTCACCATGAAAATAGTTAATTGAAGTTTTAGTTTATATTCCTACTTCATATTTAAATTCCTATTGAGCAAGACAATCTTCATTCCGAGAGGGAATATTGGTATTATTGGTATTTCCAAGTTTTGTTTTGTTTTTTTTTTTCCCTCTCTCCAGTCTTCAATATCTTATTTAAGATTCCTTTCACATAGTTATGCAAAAGAAAGGTAACCCTCAGAAGCACTCAGAAACTCAGCTCTGTCACACTTTGGAAGAGTATGACAGTCAGAAGTTACCCTGAACCACACCAAACCCATTCATTTCTTTCCAGAGTGGAAGAGTTCCCTCACTGTCTTACCCACCTTGTAGACATTTGCTGAAAGCAAAATGAAGTAATGTGTTAGCAACCCACTTAAAAGTATTTCTTTTGTATTTTGAGATTATAATGTAATTGCATCATTTCCCCCTTCTCCTTCCTCTCTCCAATCTTTCCCATATATCACCCTTGCTCTTTTTTCAAATTCCCACTTTTTACTCTGCAGACTGGGGCAGGGCGGGGTGGGAGCTGTTACAGTAACAAAATGAGGTTCTCTGGCCCTTGAATACTTGTCTGTTCTATGGAATATAAATCCACTTCCTTCCATGGGCTTTCCAACACTTTCTCCTGCAGAAAATTAATGTGCTCATTCTCTGCTAATTCTCTCCTGGACAACACACCAGGTCTCCACAAACTGGCTGGCCCCCTTTAAGGAATCTCTTTCTACAGCTCTAGTAACACCCAATCCACACCCCTCCCACCTCCTTACCCGCCATACTCTGTGTGCCACAGAACAATTCAACTTAGAGAATCTTTGAGCCCTTTTAGCACATACACAACCCCAGACACACTGGGGATCTACAGCCCCTTTGACAGATCTTAAGAGACAAGAGTCGAATATAAAGCCATTTCACGTTCAACGACACATGCACACAAAATCATGTTTTTAACCTAAAGACAAACCTCCCGCATTGTACATTCGGAGTGAGCGCTGACTTTTCCTGACCCCAGGCAGCTAATCCATTTCTGTGTCCCGCTCAGTGCCAGGGCTGCAAATGTTATGGAGTAATCAGTTTCCGAGAAAGCTCTTTCGAATAGAAGTTGCTATCCTCACTTTCCCTCTTCCAAATGTTTTCAGTAACTTCCTCCTCAAACCCCTCCTGTTTTCCACTGGGGAATTTTCTTAGTTTTATGACATCACAGCATGGGGGAAACATACTACAGAAGAAAACAGAATTTAGATTCTCATTATCTCATTCAGTTCCAAGAAGTAATAGTGTATTTGAAAGCATATTTGAGTTGTTTCGGCTTTTCATTCTTCTCCCACAGAATGTAAGACAGGCCACTATGGACCCGACTGCCAGCTGCTATGTGAATGCTCCCAGGAAGCTCACTGCAACCCTGTAAATGGCAGCTGTGTTTGTCCCAGGAGGAGGATGGGCCCAACCTGTGAGGAGAATGCCTTGGCTCCTCTTCAGCCTTCGGAAGGCGAATAGAGCCTCTTTTGCAACTCCTCTCAGCTTATCATCTTAACCCTGGCCGGGAATACAGTCACTGATCTCCTTCCCAATCTGGAACATCACAAAGTGAAAAAGAGACGCCTCAAGTTTACCACACCCATGCCCGATTCTCGTTCTTCAGCCCAACCTTGTGAACTTCCTTTCCCTGAAGAACACACTCCAAAAAAAGAGTGTTTGTTCAGGATCAGAACCACAATAACATCTGAACTAATAAAAGACGCTTTTAAGAAAATATGTGCGGGAAGTATTTGAATTTGGAAGGGATAACTGCTTCTCAGTGCAGGTTGGGCTGTACTGAAATATTCACACCTATTCACTGAAAACCTCAGTGCCCTTAAGTAGCTGGATCCTCTTTAGAAATGGCTAGAATTTCATCCATTTACTCTCAGAACCCACTTCCCAGTAACTCGGCAGCAGACTTCAAATACAGTGCATTTTGGACATGGCTTTTAATGTAGGCAATCATTACGACTTTAGCAGTGGTGGGGGTATCAGACTAAAAACATGGCATGCAGGTTAACAGTGAGTCATGAAAATATCTAGTGATGTTTTCCGTTTCCAGCCAGAACACAGGAAAACGAAGACAGAGCTGATAGAGGCCAAGGTCCGGCTGACCCTGGAGATGCTCCATTTCCTGTAATTCAGGAACGGATTGAAATAGCCATAAAATCGAAATTAGTCAACATTTCCAACAGCTCCTAGATGTTTGTGAGTGGAAGATGGACTGTCTTGTTTCGGCTCTCAAGGAGTTTATATATGCATTTCTACTTTCAGAATCCTAGTTAATTCACATTAGTAAATAACTTTGTTGACTGAAAATGCTGTTAACTTTGACCAAGAATTGTCAGAATAAAAACAGAGACTATTGAAATTATATGACTGGATTTCATTTGTGTCAAATTTCTAGAGTGGCTTTTAAAAATCAAAACAGATTTTGGATAAAATTGCTAGAAAGATTTTTGAAAAATACTAGATATTGTAAATCCAGTGCAGTCATCAGTTTGCATGCAACCCTGACTTCGGTACTATTGTTTTTCTGGTAGTGCTGGGGGGAAAAGCCAGGGCCTTTTCCATACTAAGCTTGTACTTGCCGCTGAGCCACTATGGTCACCCTTCCTCAGCACATTCAACACACATGTAACACACTAGCTGAAGGAAGAAGTGATGAATTGAATGCTACTAGGTGAAACAGAACATTTAATGAGATCTAGCTCTTAAAATATTCTTTACAAAAACAATCTGACTCTAAAAGAGACACATTTAAACTTATTTTCTGTTTCCTCTGCACTGTCAACTAAATATCTGTATTTGCATGCATGGAATTACTTATATCAGCAGTTAATTCTATAACTAATAGTTCAAATTAACAGAAAACTGTGCTCTATTCTGAATGCTCACCCATTTTCCTTATCAACTGTTTCCAAGTCTCTCAAAAAATGTTACGTTCTAATCTGCAGAGAAAATAGCATAAAATGCAGCAGGAGGGCTTGGGCATTGTCTGAGCATCATCAGCATCAGGACCAGAGTATGGGTTCTCAAAAGCCACATAAATATGACTCTGTGGTGCAATGGGTAACATATTGGACTTCTAGTGACAAAAACCCACCTTAATGCCAGCTGTGTATGGTGGCTACATATAATTCCAGCACAACATGGTGATGGGGATCTTTGAAGAAAACTGGCTAGATAGCCAAGACATATCAGTGAGCTCTGGGTTCAACTGAGAGATACTGCCTCAAAGAATAAGGTGGAGAGCAATCAAGGAAAATTTCCAATGTTAACCCAGACCTCCACATGTATACCATATACACAAACAAGGGCATATGCTCTTGTGGACACTCACATACACTGACACATACACTCCTGCGTGCGTGTGCATGTGTGTGCATGCACATGCATGCTCACACACACACACACACACACACACACACACACACACACAAGCAATGATGTTTGTTTTGCTTTGTTTTTCAAGTCAGCAGTGTGCAGTATTGAGTTAACATCACTCTCCCACTCTGGGATCTTCCCATTTCATCATTTGTTAAAAAGACAGTGACTGTAAAAGGGGAGATTGCATTGAATTACATTTCTTGTCCTTACTTGAGATTTTCTCTTTATCAACAGAGAAGACAGACTCTGAAATTAGTAAAGAAAATCAATGAAATTTCTTTCTGCTTACATATGTTGTTGATACATAGTGCCCATGTCTTTGAGAGAAATATGTCTTTAGTAAAATGATAAGCATAGTCCTGGGCAAATGTCAGATGCTTCCTTCATATATTATCTCTTTCCACCCCATTCCACTTCAAAAGTCAAAATAAATAAATATAAAAGTTTATGGGAGAAATAGGGTCATGGCATGAATTTGCATGAGTGCTGTTGTTGTTATTGTTGTTTTGAGACAGCATCTCACTATGTAGCTCTGTCTTTCCTGGAACTCACTATGTAACCAGGCTAGCTTCTTGCCTCTTGGGTACTGGAGCTAAAAGCAAGTGCTACCACAACTAGATTGTATGACTCTTAAAGCAAATGGAGTTTCAGTTTCCTTCTTATTGTACCAGTCAATAAGAATTTATACAAATTACTATAGCTCCCCTTCTTTATAAAAATTTACAAGTTACCTCTTTCACATTAAAAATTAAACCAGAAAAGTCTGAAATCAACATGTTTTCAGTGCACTTTTGGTCACCTTGAAAAAAATCTTTGGTTTTTTTATTAGATAGCTTTATAGCAATACTGAGCAAATGCTATAAATCTATAGCAAATGATATAGTAAATACTAAGACCATCAACTTAAGAAGAAAAAATGTTTAATGTATTTGTTCAGTTTTTACTCTTGCAACTCATTGGCCTAGTTGCTTTTAGGACTCTAATAGAGGACTGCAAATTATTGAGGACACATGGCATTACACATTTGTGCATGGCATTTGCTTATTTGTGGCTGGGGCAGGAAAGACAAGGAATGAAAGCCTTGAGGCATCTCCATCTTCTTCAGGAAGGCCACATTAGTGACATGAAGACTGTAGGCCCTGAATCTTAAACTTTTATTACCTCCAAATAGCACAATCATAGCATCAAGATCTTACCACAGCCAACTCTGGGGACCACTTAGGATGGCATTCTGCAAATGAGTACACAGTAGTTCTCATCATCTTTCCTAAAAGCCACAAGTCTTCTCTTGGACGATACCATTTCTCCTCTGGAAATTAAGAGTGAGATATCACAAGTGTACTAACAGTCAATGGATATTAATCTGATGAAAAGTCACAGTTCAAAGTGTACAAAATCTAATTTTCCTGCAGATAAATTTAAGAGAATTCAAAAATGTTTTTAATGACTACCATTTTAAAAAATATGTCAATTAATAAAATAGCCTATTGAAGCTCCATGTTTCCTGAACAAAGAAATATGCCATTTGATTTTGCATTGTAAGAATTTACCTGAGGTTTCTTGACATAAAAAGCTATGCACTGGATAGATGGCTCAAGGCTTAAACACATACTGCTTCTGTGGAAGGCATCAGTACCCAGGTCTAGTGACTAAGGACAGCCTACAGTTCCAGGTACAAGAGACCTGATACCTCTGGGCAAGAGCACCTGCACGCATGTGCACATAACTTTTCTGACACATACACATATTTTCAAATAACTTCAATCTTTTAAATAATCTATACAATTCAAGAGAACTGTGATTTAGCTATCAAGCTATAATTTCTATAGTGCTATAAAGAATCTAGCTATTGTTTAAAGGGACCTATAATTTAATAGACATGTCCTTCTTAAACTAAGGTTCAAGGGAAAATTAGATCCTTGTTTTTGGAATAATTTATGTATTCCACCTCCTGATTTTCTTCACTGTATAACCTGTGCTTTGAATACAGAAATGCTGTTCCTCAAATGAAATATATCCACCCATAGTATTTAACCTCTTTACAAAAATGCCTTGCTGTAATGTTTCAGGCTTTTTCATTTGAAATACAAGATCAGAGTGGGGATTATTATGCTTTTCTACAATAATATAGCTCGAGTTTAAAGAGAAGTAGTCAGAAGTATGGACATGTGTTCACTAATTCAGCATCTCCATCGACATGCCTGTGCTATACCATTTCAGTGTAACGCCTAACTTTCCCCATACTCTCTGACTTTTACATTCTTTTATTGAGTTTTCCAGAATAGACAGCTATTTGACACAGGTTAAATTATTTTTAGAGAACTTGGAAATCATTCCAAAACTTAGTGGCAGGAAGGCATTTCCTTTGTTAGAAATAGGAAGGAGGTTTGGCCTCTTCTGGGCCTCCTTCACCTCGGTTTCTTCAGGATGCAGTAATACAGATGTAGCAAGAATTTAAAAGAACATTTTGATGAAGTGAACAAATAATAGCAAGTGTCTACACTCTAGAAGTTATGTTTGCAATCTGGTTGAAATAACACTTCATGGCTCTGTAATAGGAAAAGAAAAAAGCATATAGCTGAGCTTTTAAAATAGGTTTCAAAGAGATTCCAAAAATTTCCCATTTTAGTTAATCATGTGGAAAGTGTGTTCTGCTTTTTTCTTGACATTCCAGTGTTTCTGAGTAAAAGGATTCCAACACAAATAACAAAAGTCTAACCTGTATGCTTAAAGGGGGTAGATGCCACCTAGATTTTTAAATTAGTTTTAATTTTGTTTATATGTGGGTGGGTGCAGATGTCACATGAAAGTAGATGCCCAGGAAGCTGGGGGCATGGGCTGTCCCTTGAGCTATTACTACAGTTAGTTGATGTATGCCTGAAGGAGGTGTTGGAAACCTAACTCGGGTCTTCTGGAAGAGTGGTAAACATTCAACCACTGAGCTTTCTCTCTAGCCCTAACACACCTCTTCTTAATATTCTTCCAGATATTGACCATATGCTCTCATTACTAAATCTTATGTCAATATTTTATGGAATATTTAACCTGTTTCTCATTTTAATGTCATAGGCAAATGCTCAAATTTTAAAACATTTCAATTCAAATATAATAACATATTAACCTTTGAAATACTGTTTTCTAGTAAATGTCTGTATAGCAGACTGTGTATTACGTCTTGTAAATACCAGGGACAGATACTTGCCACTTAACCCGGTAGCCTGAGTTCAGTTACTGGAACTCCTGGTAAAAGGAACAAACCAAGTCTGAGAGTTGTCTTCTGATCTTCACCAAGTGTTTCATGGTGTACACACACCCACACACATACACATGTGTGAATAAATAGA